ATGAAATAGAGGATAGCAATGTGTTCATGATACCCCCATCGTATTGAAAAGCGTGAGCATCCCCTATGGCATTTATTGGTTCCTTGGCAAGCCCATATTCACCTTTCAGAGTGTTAACTCCACAAATGCTGTCATTTTGGGCAACCTCACCCTATCCTCTACTGTGTCTAGAAACAACTCCAGACTGTAAGGTGTACAGTGTGTGTGGCTTTGAGTACTCATGGTTGGGTGGATCCTTGAGTTTGGCCGCAACTGAACATTACGAAAGACACGTTAAACTGTGTTGAGTTCATAGAAGGTTATTTAGAGCACTGGTTCTTGGAATTCCAGAATTTTAAAAATATTTTCTAAAAAATCAGTAAGAGAAAAGAAATATTGTGTTTAAATGTTACAAGTATGGAAAGATTAGATTTTTTTTAAAGGAAGGGAAAAAACAAACCAATCATTTCAAGACTCTCCTTACAAGATCTTGTAAATTAGTGCATTTTGCGTTTATAGGTTTAAGGCCATTTAAAGCCGTTTAAAGCCATTTCTCATTCCGAAAACAATTTTTTTCTTTATGAATTTTATGTCAAACAAATTCCTTTCGGATGGATTTTTATCTGATCCAAATTATAACATTCCAGTACAAATTTTGTGCTAGATATTCAGAAAAAAAGTTGTTCAGTTTTTTGGGATCACCCTGTATTTGACCAGAGACATCCATGAAAACAACACATAAATGATAAAAGACACGCATATCAATAACTATAACATTTAAAAAACCTGTTGTGTTGTGGAACAAATGTGAGGCATCGTGGTGAAATCAGGCGCTTGTCAAAATAAAGAAACTGAAGAAACAGGCATTTTTCCTCAGGTTTGTGAATTTTTATTGAATTTTCGTTTTTTGTCTCAACACTTTTCATGCCCATTTAAGTTAAAGAACACATTTCTGTGCGGATTGTACATTTTAAAAAAGTTGATTTAAGGCACAAAAAGTAAATTTTCAGTTTCCACAAGGAAATAACTCATCTTTACCAGCCATTTTCTCACTAATTTTACCTCTGAAACCTGGTGACCCCCGCTTCCTTCATTCGCAAATATGTCTAAACTTCTATTCAAGATAAATGGATTTTTTTAAAATCCAAAGCAAGACAAATGAACAAACTTTAAGATAATACCAATAACTCTACATTTCCAAAAGTTGACGAGAGCCTGATTGCACCTGGTGGTGACACAAATGTTCCATAATGAAATAGGATAGGTTCAGAATAAATAACATCCCATTTTTCGAGGGTAAAGTTAACTTTTTAGGATAGGTTGCTAATATGCCTTTTTTCATGGGTTATGTTAAACTTTTTAGTACTTTATTCTTTATAACTGGCTTCATACATTAAGATGTCAGTAAAACATTGTTTAACTGGTTAACGCAACCTTCCAGACATCAGCTCTGGCACATAATAATAAAGAACTACTGGACGTTCACATTGGGTTTTGAATGAACCTTATTAATCTTTGGTGGCCAGAAAGTTAACAGAACATTCAACACATTAGGTTATATATTATAAGTGCTGAAGATTAAAGCTGTCACAAAAGAGTGAGTAACAAACACAAAAAAGAAGGGTGATAGATACTTGATAGGAGAGAAGGAGCAAACCACACCTGAGCTCCCGCCAACCACCCATCACAGGGTTTTGAGGCTCATGACCAGACGAAGTAGGAATGAATAAATTTTTATTGATCTCTGAGGGCGAGGAAATTTTACATAGGCATGCTCTTGGGTTGACAGCAAGTCCATCAGTGTGTATAGAGATCTTTCTCTCTCTCTCTGCCTCATCTCTCTCCTCTCTTTCTCTTCTCTCTTTCCTCTCCCTCTCTCTCTCTCTCTCTCTCTCTCTCTCTCTCTCTCTCTCTCTCTTTCCTTCTCTCTCTCTCTCACTCCTTCTCTCTCTCTTTATGTCTACTATTTCTATTTCTCTCATCCTCTCTCTCTCTGTATCTTTATAATAGCTCTCGCTCTCTCACTCACGCACACACACTCACTCACACACACACATACACATACAGACATACACATACACAAACACACACACATACATGTACACAAACACATCCGCTGCAAGCAGTTGTCAGAAAAAATTAGAGAGAAGACTATGCAGCCTTACTGACACTGGTACAAATATATCGCTTCTCTAGAACTAGAATCACAAAGTTTTATCTCTGCTCAACCTAGTTTTGAGAAATTTGACGTAAACTATTTTGAGTTTTACATGTCAAGTTTTTTAACGAATTCAGTGCTTTGAACATTTTGATAACTCCAAATAATCTTACGATTTTTATAGAACAGAAAGAACATTTGGTTTCTGACCTCATGGTCTACTTTTAGTTACTCAAACTGGCCAAAAACGTAAGATAAAACTTTGTAAATCTAAGGTATAGGGGGTCCAGTGATAACCCACTTTCAAAAATCCTACCTTAGAATAAAAAACCCTACCACCTGTTTTTGCAGTTTTCAGACACATGAAGGCCTGGAAATCGGGCTGAAATTGTAGGGGGCTCAGCGTCAGAATTTTATGGTACTACGTTGGCGTTGCAGTGGCTACTTTGGTGAAACCTAAAATATATGGGAGCCTTTCTTAGAGGCTGCTGCTGTTTGGGTACTCAGGGCCTTTTTATCAGATAGTCTTATTTTGTGGTTCTGGTTACAAAGTTTACGCTGAAATTTACTTTTGCGTCCAGGCCATCAGCAAGTGACCAGTCTCTGTATTGTGGGTCTTTCAATCACTCAGGTTCATCGTAGCACTTATTACTATTACCCTTGATGTTTCTTGAGATCAAAATATAGAGATTAAAGATCTAAGCCTAGTTTAACTAGCTATGCAAAATTCAGATCTGATTCAATCAGTGATTGCTTTATATCGCCCCAGCCCTTAAGGAAGATGGAAAAATCATACGGCCACTTTAATAAAGATCCCAGCATCAAAAGATGCAGAAGAATCCTATTCTTTCATAATAAAAGTCTTTGTCTCTTTGTCTCTTTGTCCGGCCTTTTTACTATCGACTAAACACACGTGCCACGTTGTAGGCCTAAATACTACCGTATCATGCCGTATGTCTTAACCTTAGATCTAACTCTGGGTCTACCCAGCCTATCTTAAACTACTTTCACAATCCGATCACACATGGAAAATATAATTTCTAGACCTAAAAAAGATCTCTAGATCTAGATCTAAGAAATTAATTACATCTATGGACTCTCAGTCTGAATCTAGACTAACACAACAGGGAAGGATTTTAAAAAACACAAAAGCAATACCACCACGAAAGTGCTTCTTTCATCGGGAAGAGATGGAGACACCATTGGAAGACTGCTCTCGCTCTTGCACTAACTGTGGTACTAAATCTACTTGAGTACACGTGGCAGTGTACCGCACTTTTTTCAATATTGGGTAGGCCTACTCTCTTCTGACCAAAATCCGACTTTTCCGACTAGTCCCCAAAAATCGTACCTTTCCGACTTTCTGACTTTGCTGGACACCCTGCCTTAGGTAGTTAAGGCCTAGGCCTATGTCTGGCATTTCACGAGCATGTCCTCTTTGTCTTGCTAGTTTATTTGTTTGTTTGTGTGAGAAAAAAAACAACACATAAAATCAACCGAAAAGACCAAGACCGACAGACAGAAAGAAACAATAGATAAAAAGTTAGCTCTAGTACCGGTAATCAAGACCTACCAGAGGCCCCCTCCAACCACTTAATTCCTCTTCTTTCCATGTCATTAAACCAGAGAGGATAAAGAGGATAATTTCATATATATGTGAAACAGCGTGGTGGAATCAGGCTCTCGTCAAAATGCTCAAAGTGAAGAAACTTGCATTTTTCCGCAGGTGTATGAATTTTTATCAAATTTTGGTTTTTTGGCTCAACACCTTTCATGCCTATCAAAGAACTGATCTCTGTGGAAAATTTTCTGAAAAACGTTGATTAAAGGCACAAAAAATGTAAATTTTCAGTTACCACGAACTCTTAAGCAAAGTTTGGCGGCCATTTTCTCACTAATTTTACCTCTGAAAACAGGTGACCTCCATCTCCTTCTTTCACAAATATCTCGACTTGTATTCAAGATAAATGGATATTTTTTTCACCAAAATAAAGACAGTTGAACAAGCTTTAATATGATACCAAAAACTCTACCTGCCCAAAAATTGACGAGAGCCTAGCTGATTCCACCACACTGTCTCGCATATCCTCTTTACACAAAACAAACAAAGAATTCGGCCTTTAAAAATGGCCTCCTTTAATGTCAGTTGATTTTGAAATATAAACATTATTTTTTTGGTTTGTTTAGAAGAAGTACCAAAAAAAAGCAGTTTAGATCTAAGAGGAAGGCTTCAACACGTCCTGTCAGGGCCAATCTGGGCTGAGGCCGATACAACATTAGAGTTGAAAGGCTGAGACACATGTACTTGATAAAAATTCGCCCCCCTCGGGAACCAAACTCACGAATACGCCACAGCCGATAAATATAAACATAAGTATTAGGAAACATATAACATGAAGAAAAGAGTTGATAAAGTTAATACAAGGAATTCAATTGTAGATTAAGCGAACACATAGCACTCTGAAAATATACCAGGACGACTGACGACTATGTCACGATATGGTGGAACCAGGAGCTAGTCAATGTTTGGGCATAAGAATAAATTACTGGTGGAATAGTAAAGCATGTTCATTTCTCTTGCTTTTGGTGGAAAAAGAACATCCATCTATCAGAAACAGAAGTCTAGATATTTGCCATTATAGGAGGAAGGAGTTGCCTCCAGTTTGAGTCAAAATTTGAGAGAAAATGGCCCCCAAAATTTGATGACTTCCAAAGCTGTAGTGTCCTTAGAAACTGCAGATTTACAATAACTTTTGGTGTGCTTTTGACCTACTTTTCTGTACCAAAAAATAATGGAAACCTGCTTTAAAAAGGATATAAAAGGGTGTAGAGCCCAAATCAAATAAATCAATACAAATTGTCAAACGAGCAGGAAAATATCGATTTCTTTAATTTCAATATTGATGAGCACCTAATTTCATCGTGAAGACATAGATTCACATTTAATAATAATATAATGCCAGAACTGGCGCTGTAAGAACGTCCTCGGCAATAACTGGTGACGTCACAGGAGTTGTGGGTGTGGCAAGTGACGGTGATCAGCTTCCTGTCATCACTCCGGTAACTCGACGACAATTTTGCCAACACTTTTTCCTGTGTAAAGATACTGTTAGGGGAGATAATAATATGATGTCAGTACTACGTGAGCTGAAAACAGGGAAGGGGGACGAGAAAGAGTGAGACAAACAGACAGAGAGATAGACAGACTCGCAGATAGACAAACAGACAGACTGACAGACTTGCAGAAATCAGGCTGACACACAGACAGGCTGACATAGTCACAGGCCTACAGACAAACAGGCAGACCGACTGACAGACAGGCAAACCGACAGCAAACATATAGTAGCCTATAGACGTAGGAATGACAAAGAAATCAAGTGAAAAAGACAGAAACAAAATAGTGAAAGACAGAGATATAAAGAATAATATACACATGGACATGTAGACAACCACAGACAGATAGAGACACACACAAACACCCATACATGCACACACACACATACACACACACACACACACACATGCACACACATACATGCGCGCACACACATGTGCGCACAAATACAAACATACAGACATGTTATGCTCAGTAAGAAACAAACAGAGAAATAGGGAGAGAAAAAATGAGAGGGAGAGACAGATAGAGATAAAATATGAAACACATAGAGAAACAGGGATTGAGAGATTAGGGAAGTCGTAAAAGTGAGACAATAAATGTTTAGACAAAGAAAGCATGAAAAGGTAAGCAGAAGCGATATTAGGCATAGGGCAATGATCCTTTTCTCTCTCTCTCTCTCTCTCTCTCTCTCTCTCTCTGTGTCTGCCTCTTTCTCTCTCTCCCCCTCTCTCTCTCTCTCTCTCTCTCTCTCTCTCTCTGTATGTGTGTGTGTGTGTGTGTGTGTGTGTGTGTGTGTGTATGTGTGTCATTATCTCTCTATTCTTTCTTATATATGACCTTGTTATGCTGCAGGTGCCATACAACACTAACTAAAACTCTTCAGGTTAAATATGTGGACAAAACACTCAAGCATGGAGCCTACACTGTCTTCTTACATCATGATAAACCCACAGGTTTTAGCGCCAGGGCAAGAAGAGCAGTCAAGAAACTAAAAAAGAAGCAATAAAAAATATTCAAAATGCCTGATTTCAAAAGTAAAATTGGTGAGAAAAAGGCCACCAAAGTCTGGTGACGTCCAAAGTTTGAGTTTCCTTGGAAACTGCAAATTTAAATTTTGTGTGCTTTTGAACTGTTTTTCAGCAAAATTCATACCGGAATGCATTTTTAGATGGACACAAAAGGTGTTGAGTCCACCCCCCTTCCCCC